AAAATCAAATTTCAAAGAAAAAATATGTAAGTGGGTTAAGCACAGGTGGGGGGACACAGTGCACCCACTTGCCCCACCCTGCCTACAGGGCTACTGATTACATTGTGAAGGTGAACTACAGTTGTTTGGGCTTGAGCCAACATGCTGTCACCCAAGTAAGGAGTGTATATTTACCCTCTTATCTTTTCAGTTCTGGTTTGCTCACAGGTAGCCTAGGTTAAGTTACTGTTTAAGCACTGCAGAGGAAAGCTGTTAATGATTGACAATATTTCTTGCTTTGGGTCTCAGTTCTAGGTGTGGGGGCAACTGGTAAGTACAGTGGAAAGGCTGAGGATATAAAAACTCACCAAGAATATAAAATATATTACTTTACTATCTGAGAATAATATCCCATATAATTTATTCTCAACTGAGTTGTGTAAAGAAAAAAACCCTGAACAGTCTGCTAATGATGGCCAAGGGCTATTTTTATACTATACAGGCTAATGAATCTGTTATCATAGCAAGGTCTAAATGTTATCCTTCTGTGTTGCTTAACAACTAGGTCTCAACTATGTATACTGTACTGAGTGCTTGAAAAATTGATGTGATCAGTAAAACTTCTAGCATCTATGCTCTCATTCAGTCATGAGTAGTTAGGTGCCTGTTAGACTTTTATGATTGTCTGCACATAGATTGCATGTTACAGGGTTTTCTACAACTATTTCAGGCATTGTGGAAAACCACCTCAATCTTTTATTTTGGTTTTGGACAACAGGCCAGTGGTGGTGGGAAGCTTGCTCTACCAAAACTCCAATTTTGTCCATACTAATATGATTACTCAAAGAATTCACAACATTTAAATATAAGAAATGAATGAGGAGAGAGCAAGAACTGGAGAAAGAGGCCCTTATACCACTTTAAGACAGAAGTAAATAAAGTTACTCAATTTGACTTCTATTGGCTTTTTTCTTTACAAGCATGCCACTTAAAATTAATCTCCAACTTGGTTACTAATAAAAAAATGATATTGTTTCTGTTTATTCCTGTTTTCCACCTACCAATGAATCTGGTCATTTCACCTAAAGATGGTTGCAGATCTGGGTAACACTGGGTTTTATATTTTCAAGGTGAGAGGTGTGTGTGTAGCAGCCATTGTATGCTCCTTCTTCTATGCCTTAGATATATCCTGAAACCTTTTTCATACATAGCAGAGTGTTATGTGTGCTACCACCTCCCACAGTTTATCTTGAGACTGTGACCAGCTTCAGACTCAATGGCAGTAGCACACTGTGAGGTGGGTTGGAGGCAATCATCTGACATCCCATCATTGGCATCACTGCAGCTTAACAGGAACCAGAGGAAAGCGGCAGTAAGGTGGTGGTGAGGTCAGCATGATGCAAATGCCCTGTAGGAAGTGCCAGATTGGCTCAGTTGGTGTATTTGCATGGTGCTGTACTTGCCACGACCTCACCCTCATGTCTCCTCATAAACCATTATCATGAGAGGTCAGGTAAGCAGGCCCCAACCTGCTGACCCTTACTTTTCCATGGCCTCACGTTCAGCAAGTTTTCCATCTGGGCTGATGAAGAATTCTAGAAAACTCAAAAACTTGCACACTACTTTGTGGTATTTTGGTTAGCCTAATAAAGCCACTGTCCTAATACGGATATAAAAAATAAAAAACTTGAAATTTTGCTTAGTTCAACTGTGCAGCTCTTGGCAAATTCCTCCTGTCCTCCCATTTTTATTCCCAGACTCTGAGATTATTATACTTGCGAGTTATGAAGATAGATGAGAATGTTTATTATAAACCATTTTATACAGCAAAAAAGTGTGAGATCAATAATACATAGTCATATTTTTCTCTGGCACAGTGACAAGAAGCTTGATCATGCATTGGCTTGGTGCAGTTTTAACACTTAAACCATCATAGCTATTGGCAGGCAGACTAGAGAAGCAACTTCACCATAGAGGTAAATTTAGAACTTCTTTTCAATTTCATTTTTACATTGTAAAATATTTTTTCCTGATGCTGAGCTAGGAAGTACTTTTGTCAGTCTCATTATTGTTGTTTGTATATGGACTAGATCAGTGGTTCCCAAACATTTCCTACCATGGACCACTTGACAATTGCTAAGGGTCTTTGTAGACCACTTGATTTTTTTTAGGTCTTTTGTAGCAATTTCAATATGGTGTGTTACGTTCTTAATGATTTTTAATTGTATATTTACACACTCCACACAGCCACCTAAATGAAGCTCATGGACCACTGGTAGTCCACAGGCCATGGTTTGGGAACTCCTCAACTAGGTACAATTCAGTACAATTAGCACTGAACGTTTCCAGGCCTGCTGACTGAATTTGCAAGCAAACAGTGAGGTTGCAGGAAAAACAAGCAGGGATGCACACATCCCTACTTGTGGAACATTTTTGATTTTCGACACAACATTGATCTTCTATGAGCTATTCCTTTTGTATCTGGTATCAGCAGGATCTATTACTCACACATAACACACACACACACACACACACTCTTTTGGGTTGCTGACATGTTACAAGGCATTTCTTTGCATTGATGATTCTGACCTTTATTAATTCAAGCACATTCAATCTTCACTACTGATCTGTCAAACATGGCACACTGTCACACTGAGATTTTGCAGGAAGCATTTTGCAAGAGCTCATAAAGCATCAATCTGAGTCTGCCCACCAGTAGAAAACAATATGACTTCCCCAAGCTTTCAGCCTTGAGAAGCTTAAAGGGACACATACATTCTTCCAGGCTGCAATCTGACAGAGACACCTGGGAACCATTCCCAATACTTTGGTTTATATCTAGTCCAATTGCAACTGCTGAATATAAATTAATCAATACAAAATCCAGCCTTAGCAATTTGGCTGCTTTGAGCATATTAATGTTTTTCTTTGTTGTGGTAGATTGTAATATTCCTTCTCTCATTTGCGTGCTTATCTCGTCTTTTATCCTGACATGCCTCCCACTTTAAATATGCCTGAGCTTTGTGCCTAACAAATTTGCAAATCAAGTGTTTCCTCCCATAGATTTTTTTTCTTGAACTGGGAAAAATGGGGCTCACCCTAATCCATATATGTCATTCTGCATGTTGTGATTAAATAGTGATTAGGTGCAAACTGTTTGGTTTAATTTGCTTTGAAAAGCTGTGCTTGCACTGATAAAGGGTGGAAGCATTTCAGAGATGAGATATAGGGAACAGATGTTTAGTATAAAATATTGATACCACAGTAAGGAGATAAGCTTGGTATTTAATTTATCTTAATATTTCTATTACTACAAATTTAACAGCTTTTATCTTGTGGGGTAATTACAACTTTTTCAAGCAAGAGATAAGATTTGTTTCAGTTTTGTCACTCTTAAACTCTTTACTTCATTCACTCCCCAATGAATACTCCTCTCAGTGGGACATGGTTTCCCTATTTTTGTTACAAATGCATTTTTGTCTATCTGGTAATCTGTATCTAAGGCTGGAACCAAGCTTAGTTAACTGGTCAACTGAGTCTCCATGGCCTTCATTAGATGATTAATGGAAAGGGAATGGCCAACCTTGGCAGCCAGCATGAAGCCTCTAGACAAGCCTGACTGCACTTTAGTACTTGGAGACTGACTATCCTTGCATGCCTGGTCATTGGAGCAGTACCTTCTTCCTGCTGTGGAAAACACCCACTCTAGAATTTATTTCAGGTATAGAATTAACTGCTTTAGCTCGGCCCTGACAGGAGTCACCTGTTTGTCCTGCTGGGCTTGATGGAATCTAATCATGATTATGGCTGAGCTGAAGTGCTCTTTAGAGATACAGCATTACTTTCCACCTCCAGCATACCTTATGTCACTGCCTCTACTTCTTGTATGATCTTAGTAGCAGTGCTGTAGTTTCGGCAGCTGGTAGCCCTCATTATTATTATTACTTGCCCTACAATTTTTTTACAGCCCCCAAAACTTTATAGCATAAAACAAGGGTATAAAAATGTTTGCTATTTTTATCACTGCTGCAACATTTACTAAACTGACCCCCAGCAGTTTCTCCCTCTAAACACTCCCAATTTTCCCTATTTTGGCTCCTTTTGGTAGGAGTGTTCACATGTTATATTTCATGAGCGTACAGCCTGTTTACCTCTATACATTCAGAGTTATCACATGCAATGTTCAAACAGTGTATAGTTTATGTACCTGTGTACACAATAGTTGAGCTATACAACTGAAGAAATATACACTGTTTTGTACAAACACCTGGAGAGGCAGCCTGTGCCTCTGTTCAGTGCAAGGTGTGAACAAGGCTTTTGTCTCCTTTAATTAGTGGTATGCAGACCTGGTATAGATGAGATACGGTGACTGGCTTCCCAGAGCAATGTGACCTGAAGGTTCTGGGAAGCCAGAGGATAAGGAAGAGATGAGAAAGATACTTTTCTTGATGTCTTGCCCATTGGGAACCACATATAAAGGAACAGACAAAGGGTTTCAGCCAAGCTCTGGGAGGCAATGGTTTGCCCTTGGATTGGTTTGGATATCCAGCACCCCCTATTGGAAAGAAAGCCCACCAGAAGTCCTGTGTGACCAAGCCACAGAAGTAAAAGAAAATAAAACCTCAACTGTAGAAGGAGAAAAAAAAAAGGTGAGAAGTGAAAAAAGTAGTTTCCACTCCTGGGGAAATGAGAAATAAGCTGAGCCTGCAGCTGACATGAACAAAATCTTGTTCTTCCTCGTTTGAAATGCCAGAGGAGTAACAAAGGAAGGAGGCTACACTCACACAAGCAAAACAAAAGTGTGGATTTTGCTGCAAAATGATAGCAACATGCCATCTCCCCTGAGAGAACGTTATCTTCACTCTGTGATATGAGTTCAAACTTCAAAGCATGTTTATGTGCTTCTACATTAAACGGAAAAGACTCACCTCACTGTCCAAAAGTGAATATCAGTTTATGCTAGATTTACAAGCTGCACCCTCCTTTTCTTGTTGTTCACAGACTGCTTTTAACTATCAGAAAAACTGCCTATGCGTGTTCACTATGAGAGAAGAGCACAGCATCATTAGGCAAGGCAGAAGAAGAGGAAGAAGAGGAGGAAGAAAGCCATTTACTGAAGTCTCAAAGGTGAGCATTTTCTGTGAAAGCCCATAGTAGTTAAGAAAGGTGTATATTTTGGACTGTAAATATTTAAGTGATTCTTTATCATCTTTGTGTCAGTGCCTTTGATGCTACTCAAATGTAACATTCATAACATTTTGGTATTATTTATATTTAGTATACTATAGACTACAATGACAGTCTAGATATTTATTTTAAAAACTGAAAATATCAAGAGCACAAAACATTGGTTCTATGTCAGATGTTTGTTTATTTAATATACAGAGTGTATATAAAATACATGAAATAGTGGATGTATTGTAAAATATGAATGATAAATAGGCATGTTCCCCTCTTTCCATTGTAAGTACAAAGGGACATATGTATATGCTCTACCACTCAGTTACAGACCTAGCATAGAATAGGCAACCATGCAGGGTACAGGCCTTATAGAGTAGGCTTGTGCCATACACTATACTTTTTAGTATACGTAGCAGAGGCACCAACTTCTCAAGATGATTGAGGTGGCCTGATGCAATGTTGCATGGAGCCAGAATGTAGAACTGAACACTTTTTGAACATTGAGGGGGCCCAGCCCTAAAAAAAAATTGGGGCGTGTGTGGCAAAGTGACTCAAGCCCCTGGAACTGGCACCTATGATATTGCTCATTAGATAAATTAATTGTTTATCTTCCCTTTTATTGGGAAACATATATATACTGCAACTTTGAAGATTGTCTCACTCTAGGGCGATAAATTCATGCAAACTGGAAAAATTGTTTTGCTCATGGTTCATTTGCTGGGATAGATTTGTATGAACAAGTTCATACTTCTTTGTTTTGTGTGTGTGTTTTAAAAAAAATAGTCTCTGCTCAACTCAACTTTTTGCTCAACAGGGAAGTTAAGCATCATTATGTCTGGGTTCAATCGGCACAGTTGGTTAAACATGCCAAAATCACCATTCCTCACAAACAAGCCCTCCCCACAGTCTGCTCTGTGCCCAAGGCATCTATAAATAAATTGCTGCCATCCATCCATTAAGAATCTTATGCTGGAGTAATGGATGGAGATGCATAAGAAATGTTTTCCACTAAGCACATGCACTCTGCATCTCTGCATTCACTGAATCCATTCTAAACAAAGAAACTGCGGTGGTGATGATCAGATGCTCAGCAGAAGAACAGGGGCAAGGGATGGTTGAAAGGGGAGGGGGAGTTAGAATTATTAGAGTAGAACATGTGCACAGGGTTGGGTTGTTGTTGGTTTTTTTCCAAGAGGATTTAAAACAAATAGAATCCCCTTAAGGATTAGCAGTCAACCCTGTTGCTGAGAAAACGAAGGGTATTTGAGGGCAGCGCTCATTCAGCCACGGTAGGTCTGCATGAGGTGAACGTGGTGCCTGCCAACAAAAAGTGTTAGCACAGGATCCCAGCAGGGAACATTCAGGAGCTTGCAGAGTGCAAAGAGCTTTTGTTTTTGCAAAGAAAAAGAGAGTTTGCCTGCCAGATGGCTTTTTGCAAGTGCTCACAGCTCTCAAATAAATATAAGGAAGTACTTTTAAAGAGTAAAGACTGCCATGATATAAATACAAAAGGGTGGGGTTTTTAATTAAACAATGCAGGGGGGAATCACAAAGACATTCTAGCCAACATACTTAAATCTTTTGCCTGGAGTGACATGCCCACAGCAGTTGATTGCATTATTTCTTCATAAAACTGCTCAGTCATTTTTATTATAATTTTGGCTGAGAGATAAAAATGACAAAATTCAGGATCGGGATGAATTCAGTTTGGTTCACGTTTTAATGTGAGCCTACCTGGTGCACATTTCCAGGAACAAAATGCGAACTGAAATGAAATTATTCATCCAAATTTGCACTTCTCTGAATTTTGCAATGCAGTTCTCTATCCCACTCCCAAATTACAAAACTTCCTATATTAGGGGAAGTTGCACAAAAATATGCATACATCTGTGAAAATAAAATACAAAATTCCATTTTATTAGAGGAAATGGGTATACTAGAAAAATTGCACACTACAATTTTCATGAAGCTTTTGAAACTCTCCTCTTAGCATTTGATGCAGCACAATCTAAAGCGCTGTCACATGGAAGATGGAGCAAACTTGTTTTCTCCTGTACCAAAGGGTAGGACCCAAACCAAAGGCTTCAAGTTACATGAAAAGAGAATCTGACTAGACATCAGGAAGAATTTTCTGATGGTAGGAGCTGTTATCTGGCTGTAACAAAGTAGCAGATGATGCAGTGGGGCTCTGCCACTTACCTGACCTCCCTCTGGCCAAATATCTGCTGCTGACCGGGGGGAGGTGAGACGACAATGAGGTAGGTGTAGTAGAAAGGCTCAGGTAGAAGCACTGTTGGCGCCATTGGCACATTTATACTGTCCTGACCTCATTGTCGCCTCACCCATCAGCATTTTAGAATGCACCATAACCAGCAAATTGTCCCATAGTAATAGCACCTGCCTTCTGTACTGCCATCCCTTGGGTAATTTGTGAGGTGAAGAAAGAAATGACCTTTAAGTATTTCTTAAACACTTACATCTTTACCCAACTTTTCCTGGACTCTGACTCTTAATTTTTAATTCTCTGTTTTGGACATTTCTGTTACCTGCCTTTGCGTTTATTTTGCTTCTATGCAGCTTTTAGGAAATGTTACTGAATGTCACTGCTGTATTTATATATTTTGTAGATTTTGTAGATTTATATACTTTGTAGATTTTGCTGCCTCTTAATTTGTTAATGTGAAGGTTGTTATTTTCATTTTATTGTATTTTGTATGAATAATTTTTATCTATGAATATTGTACACCACCACCCTGAAATGGTGGTCAGTTTAGAAATATTTTAAATAAATAAGGATCCTTGCCCAATAAAGAGCTACATAGCCATAGCTACAGGATACAGAAAAGAAGCAACAATGTGGTGTGTGCAAGGCAGTCTATGTACAACTTGGCAGGGGTACTACTTTGTTGAAAAGCGAAAGAAGCAGAGAGTGAGTGCTTGGAACAAAACACCTGGTGAGATAGTTGTCTGACTCCAGCCTTAGGTTGAGCTTAATTAAAGCAAGGAGAGTGTGAAACATTCTGTCTTTGAAACAGTCCAAATCCATTTATATATCTGCCAAAACCTTCAGCACTTAGAGTCATGGTGAGCACAGCACCCCAAGCACTTAAGCAAAGTTGTTTGCTTATTTCTTTATTTATCTAACAGTAGAAAAACTCATACAGAAAAGTAATCTCTCTCTTAAACTTATTACTCTAAAACAGTTCCAGTGATATAAGCCGTAAAAGAAATGGCCTAAACAACCAAAGCAAATTTCTACCTCTTGTTGAAACAATCTAAACTGAATTTTGCTTTATGGTAGTTTGATGAGATGATATACAATGACTAGGTGGTTTGAGGTACCCATGTTGGAATGAAACAGCTTTGTAAGAAGCACCATAGCCTTTGAACATGGCCAGAAAACAAGGAAAGAGAATTGTGGAATGGGCATCTCCAAGTTCATCTGTACAAAACACAAGACCATGATAGTGGGTGGGTTGAGGGCTATCTACAGCTTTTGAGGCATAAATATGAACAGTGGGGTTGACTGAGGATTCCCTTATGTGACATCCAAAGAGATGGGAATGTGGTAGAAAACAGAAATACCTTGTAATGCTATCCCCAGGCTATGTGTAGTATTTGAGGTGAGCTTTGAGGTTATCTGAATCTTCCAACTTTCAGGATGTCCACAAGTTTTAGTGATATGAGAGAGGGCTACCCCCAAATGGTTGACTTCAACATCCCCCCACAATGTGTAGCCAGTAGGACGCATGGCCAGTGGCTACACAGTATGACCCTCATGACCTAATCCAATGTGTGAGGTAGTTCAAGCAAACATCTCTGTTGAGATCTCTATGTGTAGTGCACCAGTGGTTTCTATTTCAAATCCATAATTAAGTCTAACTCTTGACCCAGCTTTTATTTTGTAAACCTGAATTTCAACCACTGATGCTTCAAACCCCATCAGTAGCAGCAAACAAGATTGTGGTGGCAGGGGGACCTTGCGTCTTTGTTGCTACTGGTGGAAAAGCAGAGATGATCTTGAGAGATGCTTTTGTTCAGAAAAATAGCCCAAGGAGAAAGGTTTAAGCATCACATCTTCTCTGCTCTTCTCAGGACATATCTGCATCCTCCACAACTTCATTTGGGGATGATGACCCAAAAGTATCCTCCACAACTTCATTTGGGAATGATGACACATTTTCTGGCATAATTTTGACCTCTGTCAGTATGTTTTTAAGAAGTCAACAGCAGCAATATGACCACAGATATCAACTATTTTACCAGAAGCAAGTACAAAAAGAAATTTTATGTTGTTATCAACACAGTGTTTAAGCCTCGAGATCATGATAACCTGCATCTTTTCCTGTTCCTTTAAAAAACCAGCTTTGCAAAACACCATGAACATCATTTTCACTGTCTCTTATTAATGACAGGCCCATATTACAAATTTTGGAAGATGTGATGTCTGTGATCTCCCAAAGGTCATTTGTGAGTTGGTCTCCTCTGAGTTATGAGCCCTTACCATCTACAAAGAACTTGATCTGCTGACAGTAATGAGACAAACATGTATTAGCTTCATGCCTCAGAAATTGTAGTGCCCCTAGTGAATCCTTGGCATTAACTGTTTGCAGCTTAGCCGGTGTGAAATGTAGGGGTGTTTTTTTTTTTTTTGTTATAAAGCAGCTGGAACACATGTCCATGATGGCAATAATTAACAGTATCCCAGTACTGGAAATATCTGATAAAGGAGGGAAAAGAGAGGGGGGTTTTTTATCCATAAAAGAGGGTCAATTCAACAGTATTTAGCAATGACATTTAAGGCCCCTTCAGACACACACTTACCACATCAAAATCTTTTACTACTACACATATGGATGCACGTGTAAAGTGAAAATTTCAGGTATATCAAGGTAACTCAGAGCAATGATCATTAGTCAGTCCATGGTTGCTCTGGTGCTGATAAGACTATAGCCAACTTCAGGGATTTTCTTACACATGCCTGCAATTGCATGGAATAAAGATGGTAGGGCTGTCCCTGGTGATGCTACCCCTGCCCCCAAATCCACATGTTGAGGAAGGTGTGGAAAGAGGAACATGCTCTGTGTAGAAAGACTCTCCTTGTGTTTTACAGCACTGGTTGCACAGGGAAATATGAATGCTCTCCCTACATCTCTAACAGACCTTCGTTTCCAACAAATGTAAAGGGGGGAAATTGGTGATATTTGTGGGATTTCAGGAGTGCAGAAAACATAATTTGTCTTTCTGATATGGAGGGTATTTAACAAAATTTCAGGTTTTTCTTAACTTCTTTAAAAGTAAAAGCCATTTAGACTTTCAAAATGCACCCCAAATATCCCTGAAACTAATGCTATGTGATTTGGTAGTGTTCTTTCTAGGGACATTGTATTGGTGGGGGATATGGAAAAAAAAGATCCCTGTGCCAGTCTAAAGATAGCATAAGATCTCTCAATATCAAAATATTAATTGTGGTTGTGTGTTCATAGCAAAGCCAGGAGTATTTACCTTTGAATGTGAATGCCATTGAATGCTATCAACTTTATGCCACTCATTGTGAATTACTGTGCTCTACAGATGTAATAAAATTTTCTAAATGCTGCTATCAGTTGCAGAACTGACAGAAAGACCTTTAATGATGCCACAATTCATATGATTCTTTAAACATATTTTCCTCCCAGGTACTCTACATTGAACAGTAGCTTAAAATTTTCATCAAATCATGACAGCGTTACTCGAAACCTTCTGAACATTTCCAAACAAATTGCAGCAGCAAAGAGACCAAATTGAACACAGAGGGAAAGTGTACACTTCCTTATCCTCACCCATTTCCCATATCCACTTTAGATACCTGAAAATGGATCCATTTGGTTCTGCCAAAACTCTGGATGGGAGATGGACTATGGAAACTGGATTGAATTACCCATCCTCTTTCTTCTCTAAAGTACAATGGTGAAAGAATAATGGGAGGGGAAATGTACCTAGTCTGTTCATGCATATTTATGGATTAATCATGGGTTCTGATTCAATCAATTTGTGAACATGGTTATAAAATCAGAGGGTATTGCGCCACTCTCCATATAAACTGACTTGGAACCTGCAATCATCATTTGAGGCCCTTCTTCATGTGCCTCCTCCATGAGATGTCCAGAGGGTGGCAACATGAGAGTGGGCTTTTCTGCAGTGACTTCCAGTTTGTGGAATGTTCTCCCCAAGGAGGCTTGCCTGGCACCTTCATCACATATCTTTAGACCCCAGGCAAAAACATTCCCCTTCTCCAGGCTTTTGTCTAATTAAACAATCTATGGCCTTTTAAACTATGTGTTGGGGTGTTATTGTTTTGGCTTGTTACTATGTTATGTATTTATGTTATTTTATATTGTCAACTGCCCTGTGATCCTCGGATGAAGGGTGGTATAGATATTCAATAAATAAATAAATATGGTATGTACATCTCTCAATTGCCTGTTAACCAAAAAGGAATTTTACTAAATCACACCTCCTTTGCTTAAATTTGCAGCTCTGAGCTGAGAGTGTGTGTTGCATATTGGTTTGATGTGCATAAAAACAATTTCCAAGTGTTTACATTTGAGCTCCTCCCACACTTTGCGATTCAGGCCCTGGGCCAAATGGCTCCCTGCCATTGGTTATGGTCCCATGCATGTTTAATCCAGAAGCAGCTGGTGGGGAGGGCCAGCAGCATGTACCAGGCCTCCTGGCACGGGCACTGCTGTTGCTTACCAGGAGGGACAGGAGGAATGGTAAAGGTAGCAGAGAGATTGGTGCTGTGCAGAAGCAGTGGCAGAGCCAAAGCACTGCTCCTACCAGGACGTCTGCACAGCAGCAACCTCCTTGCCACCTCGCCCTGCCCCTTCCCTCCCAGTAAATCACAGTGATGCCAGTTCCAGCAAGCCAGGTGCATACTTTTGCCACTCCCCACCGTACTTGCCTGGCCTATGTTCAACTGGGACTCACTCCCAGGTAAGTGTATATAGAATTGTAGCCTCTAGGGTACCTGTTATTTTAATGCATTCATGTTTAACTGAAAGGAGTAGACTATACATTGCTGAGTGAATGTTCAAAAGGAACCGTAGGGCAGCAGCAAAATGCTATCTTGTACATGTTAGCAAGGAATAGTTAGGTTAAAATGGTTTCTTGGCATAAATGAGATATAAGAAGTTAAAAGTCAAAGATAAACCCATGTTGGACTAAGCAGATGAGGGTGTTATTATGGAATAAGAAAGGTTAATTTATTTTAATAACCTCTTTAATTTGATGATGTAAAAGTGTAATGATAATGATGTCATGACATCATTTAGCCCTGGAACTGAAGGGGATTCTTAATTTTAGATAACAGAACCAAGAACAGCTCTGCAAAGAGGTTTGCCAAGCAGGGCAATGTGTTAGTTCCTGTAGGACTGTATGATCTTAGTGAGTGCTACATAAAAGGAATTATTATACTAGCATTCAGAAATCTCTTGCCATTTCCATTAAAATCACGATATTTTGAGGGCTTTATAAATTCTGTCCTTTTCATTTGCATGCTGTTGAAACATGACATTAAAGTTTTCAGTCCAAATGCATTTTTAAAATGCTGCTCTGAATACCATATGTATCTTTAGATTTCTTCTTCTAAAGTGGGAAAATGATAACCTGCAGGCTCTCATTGTTCTGCAAGAAACAAATGGTTCAAAGCGGATTATGGCAGGGAAAGTGGGAAATAAAGGATTGTTTAGGGCCTTAACTTTTAAAATGTTTGCAAAGATTACAAGGTTTTGGATCAATTAATGTACATTAGCCACATAAAAATGCTGTAGGACCTACATTGTACGACAGACTAAAGGCCAGGTGGCAGCATGAACTTCAAATAGCTTTGTCAAGCCTTAATATTATCCCTTTCTTATGCTTAATTATGAGATTTGACAGAGCAATAATGCACAATTCCAGTTTGCTTTAGTGTCCTTGACTTTTCTGCATTTTTTAAATAGAAACATTAGTAGCTCTTCAGAATCCTATTTTCCTTGTGGTTTAGAAGGCTACAAGTACATTAAAAGTTCTCAAACTTTTTTGCCAAGTGTCAGCTATTTTTAGAGTTAAAAAACCTCAATGATTAATTTTCTTCTACCTGAAAAGATGAAAATCGGTGGTTCCACCATGCAGTGCATACTGCACACATACCACGAGCTCTTCTGGTACACTAACTACCATTTCCACTGATATATTTATATTTAGATATACATTGTAATGATGGGTGCTATTCTAAACTTTTTACATGGATCATGGCATCAGAACAGCATGCATGGATTTAATATAAAATATGCCCCTTAAGAACTATGTGCCCCTGGTACAAGCTCCTAGTTTATACATAACCTTGAAAGAACAGCTAACATTCTAACCCTAATAGTTGAAATAAAGAGCAAGAGAACTAATCCTTGTATTTGACAGGAAGGTCTGTTCACTGTTTATCAGCCTCCTGTAAGCAGGAACCAGACTCCCAAGAGACAATGAAGATATATTTTACAGTAAAGTCAGTGCTTTTTAATGGGGGTACGCAGGGGTACGCATACCCCTAAACATTTTGTGAATCTAAGTTTGGCCTCATTGAGGGGCAGTATTTCAATATGAGTAGGAAAATGAGAGTTCCCCTAAATGGTTTTTTTTAAAAAAAAGAAAGGGAAAAAAAGCACCGGGTAAAGTTATGATTCTGGAATTATAGAAATAAATATGTAGTCTTACCAAATTAAGATTGCACCCTCTTTCATTCAAAATTATCTCACAAAAACACAGTAGAACATTAGATGTAACAAATGACTATTCAAAGGGCTGAGTTCTGTGTGGGTCACTCCCTAAGGAAATGCCTTCCCTTCTCCATAGATGTTTTTTCAAGTCAAAGTATACTAAAACCCTAGGTTTTTAATGGTTAGCTAGCTCACAGCTCCAACAAGACCTCCTCTTTGCTCCACTGTGATCTCAAGGATCAGCCCTACACTACGCTGGATCAGGGAACAAAGGGATGGGTGAGAGACTCTGTTCCCTTGGTGGCATAGGATTTTGAAGGGGCGAGCTTAACTTTCGCAGAAGGCACAGATCGCAAATCCCTGACTTTATTCTCTGCTTGCTCCCAAATCAGGTATACCTCTCTCCATCCCTATTTTTCTTTCTTTTACTGTGAGTGTTGTGACATATCACCATGCTCCCTCTGTAGGTTCTTGCGTTGTTAGGAAACTAGTCACTCTATAAAATTAAGGTATGTGCATATATGGAATGATCATTTAGTGCCTTCATATTTGTAACCTTGTTGTCTAAAGCAGCAGCCATATACTCTGTCTCTTTCATTTCCATGCAATAAACCATTTTCCCCTACTGCTTGGTGTGACAAGTACCTTATTAGGTATAAGGTTAAAGACATACACACATCTTAATCTTTGAAATTGATTTGCAATGTTTCTCACAGTCATGCTCCTGCAATATTACTTGGGAATTACAGCAGAGATGAGGAAAGGCAGAATGTTTTCTGTACCAAACCCTTAAGTCCCAAATGGTGTGGGAGGCTGACACACACACACACACACACACACACACACACACACACACCTTGCAACAAACAAAAGCAATCAGCTGCGAAACACATGGCATCTTCTCAGCAATCTCCAAGGAAACCTCCTGGCACCATGGCTCACCCCAGGGCAAGAGGCAGCACAGAATCATCACCCCACACCTCTGCCAAACATAGACACAGCATGTGTGACACTGCCAAACCAACTGATTGCCCAGGAGCCAAAGTATTCTTCTGTAAACACATTCCTATTGTAAAGCAATTTCTGAAATCAAAGACAGTTTCATTCTAGAATGAGGGACTAAAGTAATCAGCTTCTCAGCATGTGGTAATGGTAGTTACCTGCTTTGGATGTATGTCCAATGAATGCCAACCACAAAGGTGCAAAGTTGGCACACACACTCATAGTATATTGCAGTCTTAACTGAAAACAGGGTACAAATTTCAGGGTTGGAGAGCTACACTAATGTGATCTAACTGACAAAAAGTAATCAGATAGCAATCTAAAAAATAAGGAATAATGTGAATGATGCAGATTTACTGACTGACACATGGTGTAGGCCAGGGGTCAGCAAACTTTTTCAGAAGGGCCGGTCCACAGTCCCTTAGACCTTGTGGGGGGCCAGACTATATTTTGAAAAAAAGAAGAAATTCCTATGCCCCATAAATAACCCAGAGATGCATTTTAAATAAAAGGACACATTCTACTCATGTAAAAACATGCTGATTCCTGGACCGTCCATGGGCCAGATTGAGAAGGTAATTGGGCCGCATCTGGCCCCTGGGCCTTAGTTTGCCTACCCATGGTGTAGGCAAAGTAGACTGCTTTTCTCCTACCCTCAAAATGCTCTGGAATCCAGGGAAGCTCTTCAAAGAAACTGATGTCACCCAGTTTTTTATAAGCTTATCACTTATACTAAGGTTCTATTCAATATTTTAAATGTATTTTTTATATTTCCAGAATACAAACCAATTTCTTTAATATGTTTCTGTCCCAGAACACAGAACCATGTGGTTGCTAGATCTTCAAAACGTCATAGCTTTCAAAAAGAAAAAAGAAAAGAAAAGAACCCCACCCCGTAACATTTTAAAGGAAGTTTTAATTATGAATAAATCTGAACGTGGCTTTTCAAACAGAAAAAGGAGCAGAAAGAACCAAACGGCACAGTTTACTTCATGTATGACTCAAAGTATGTTAAGTCTATCATAAATGTATAGAACCTTCTCCGTACATCATCATCAATGCACAAAGTCTTCTTCTAACACAAA